ATAATTTGGTCACAAATTTCATATAATTTGTCACATATTATTCATTAATCACAAATCACAAATTATTTTACGGTCACGATTCAAAAATTTCATAGATCACAATTTATTCATCAATCACAAATCATAAATTTGCACGTCACAATTTATTCATCAGTCACAAGTCTATCAAATTAATAAGTCACATATTATTCATTGATCACAAATCACAAATTTTATACATCACAATTTTTTTTTACACTCATAATTCAAAAATTTTATAGGTCACAATTTGTTCATTGCTCACGAATCAAAAATTGAAACGTCACAATTTATTTATAGGTCACAAATCACAAATATTATAAGTCACAACTTAGTGGACAGTCCCAAATTGTTAAATTATCGATAACAAATTAACAGTTTTTTAAGTCACAATTTATCTTTTTCATTGATCACATAATGTTTATTGATCATTGATTAACCAATTTAATAGTCACAATCAACCATATAATTTGTCACCACAACCAACACTTGTGACTATCACCGCATCACTCCCTCCAACAGCACCACTGCCACCATCACCGCCAGAACCACCACCACCACCTCGCAACAGCAACATCACCACCTTAAACAAATCAACACATCGTGAAAAACACCACCACATCGTCGCACAGATCCACCACCACCTCGATAGACCCGTCGCGACCAACATCTCAACAGCACCCACCATCACTAAGATCCACCACCACCGCCACCAAAAAAATCACAGCCAGCATTACATCTAACATAACCTCCGCCTCTAACAAAGTCACCGTCACCCAAACACCACTACCACAACCTCACCAGATCCAATCACCACCAAACATCACCAAAACCACCTCCACTAGAACAAGCACCACAACCACACATCACCACCACCTCAACATATCCAATCGATTGAGAGCACTGCTGTACTATCCAAAATGGGATCTTATCGACTGAGCAACAGCAACATCATCATGATGATTGAGAACCACCAACAACATTAGTGTTGTCGAGCAACCTCACCAAATCTAAACACAACCACACAACACCACTACACACAACACCAAAACCACCACTGCTAGAACAACTATCACAACCACACATCACCACCACCTCGCCCGATCTAATCAATGGAGAGCATTGCGGCACTATCAACGAGCCATTAGCGCTACTGTGAACACCAACACTAGATTGCCCGCTGCGAACTCATAATCGCTGTTGTGTGCATACAAACTCAAGCGTCGTTCAACGACGAACGAGAGAGTGACAGAAAGAAGAGAGAAGGAAGAAGAAATACAATATGTCGTCTCGTGGAGGCTGGGCTGCCAGCGGAGAAGGAAGAGAGTGGAGAGTGAGAAGAGATAGTGACAGAGAGAAGAGAGAAGGAACATGGGATGAATTTGATTAGGATTTAGATGAAATTTGTACAATTAATATTTAATATTTAAAAATAAAATTTTAGATTTTTGAAAAGTGAAACTTTTAATC